ATGTGTACAGTGAAATCGTGGAAACACCCCGCCTATTCAATCGCAGAAATATTTCTATATTAAATGAACAAATACATTAATTTTTGTCAATCCTTCAATCGATGATCACTTTCCACGTTCTGACTTGAAACTAAGTCATTGAACAAGAGTTCTAGTTGCACGAAATTATTTTTCAGGGGTATTTTGCCATGACACGTACTAGTATTTAGTTACGTGGTGGCGTGTTGATACCTGATTGGCTGTGAAGGAACATATGTTTTTGCATGCAGAAGGCAGAACGCTCATCTCACACAACATGTACATCCCATTACAAGTTAGCCGTCTTGCTCGTGAACTCATACACATCATTGTCTAATATTCCTGTGTGGCGCCAACTATTTGCGATTGTCCTCTGTGACATGGCTTGCCATCATGCCTCCTTGGCCCACTGCAATGCATCGAGAAGACTGACTTCATGCAGCTTCTTGACATGAGACGAAAAGTTCTCCTTGTTTGCTTCGTCCAAAGTGTCATTAGGCTTTAAGCCACCGTGTCATTGTTGTTGATAAGGCACGTGGTTAAGACGGAATGCATGGTAGGCCCACATGCGTAGCTGCAACCCACTTAATTCTGGATTTGCAGTACGATGCTCGATCAATCTTCGCTTCTGCTCAATTGTTAGCCGCTGCCTCGATGACGGCGATGGCATATGACCATTGCTTTGAATTTCAAATAACCTCTCTGAATTTATATTTTTCCAAGCTCCAGGACTATGGATTTTTGAGGGATATTAAATTATGGTGGGTCTCCTAATAAAGAATAACATACTTGATATCAACTTTTACAGCACCAAGACTACGGAGATGCCTCGTGATGACTTGCCTGATGGTGATCTCCCGGCAAGAAACGATGAGCGCTCGTGGTCGCGTCACCGACCGCTAGGAACGGCGGGTCGTGGTACATCTCTTTCGTTCTCCGAGAAGACGGCAGCCTCGTCCAGTTGGCTAGAGGTTACCCCCGCGTAGTGGTACGCGTCAATCCAGGTGTAGACGGACTGACTGACGCCGGGGTCATCGTCGAAATCGGATTGGCGTCTGAAGCGGCCAGGGACTCAGGTGGTAGTTGCGGCCGATGGAGCGGCTGCAGCAGCCGACCTGGCTTTTACCACGGGTTGAAGCACCCCATCGACGACATCGACATGGGTAGTGCCTATGGGTAGGGTCGCGGTAAAGTGTTGAGCGCGTCAGCCATTTCACAAGCTCCAGTCTTCAAGGGACCGACGAAATCATAGTGGCGCGTTTTTATGCGCGAGATCCAAAAGAACTTGGCGCAGATCAATGCCCTGCAATGCATGGGATCACATCTGTTTGCGATACTCATAGGTCCCTGCATGGACGCGTTCTCAAAGCAATTGTTCCGCGGCATTCGCGGAAGTACGACGTGTGCCCTTAGAAGTGACCATGGACAAACAGCACTTAACTGCACGGACATCCGTGGTGGGTTGAGGAGTTGGGTGGCTGCAAGGCTGCCACTGTTTTAGGAGAAGTAGTGACTGGAATGGTGTGGTAATACCAGTCTGTTTGCATTGTGACCTCGGATCAAGACGTTGATCTCCGTGTTGGTTAACGGACGTTAACAACGCGGGTGCGAAACAGCAATGATCGCCATCTTTGCCCTCAACAAGGACCACAATGTTGTTTAGAAAGCCGAAAGGATCGCGTGATTTCACGCGGCATCCGAAGAAGATCCCCAGGATCTGGAAGTATTGAAGAAGCAGCTAGGAACCGCGATTCGATTTCACATGAAACTTTAGGACGCCGAGTCCAGAGTTGGTCGTATGCTGGATGACTTTATGCGTGTGCTAGTGCAAGACCAATAAATATGGGTGCTCCATCAAGAGGTTACTGTAGTTGTCGAGGCGATGGCGCGTTCTATCCGACCTGAAATGTCGAAGATTGCTGAGAACAAGCAGTTGCATGCCCAACAAAACGAGGGCTTGAAAGAGAGATGTACTTTGATTTGTCAACTGGCTGTGGCAATTTTTCGCTGGTTTCCAGCTGCACGACGGTCCAGAAGTAGATCGAGCTGCTTCGCAGCCTTCGAAAACGGATGGTGATAGAGGCATCCGTGGTAGAAGATGTGATGGAGGCAGCCGCCATTATGGCGGCGCGAGGAACGCGCCGAAGGCACAGGCAGTAGAGAAACCTGATGCCTAGGGTGACAAGGGCGAACGGCGCAGAAGAAGCGACGCGGCGGATGCTTGAAGTGCGGTGCCAAGAGTCACCGTGTTGTAGATTGCCCAAAGGCTGCACCTGACGAGGGGCAGAATTTAGTTGACGAGACCGTGAAGAAGCGCCAAGGCCAGATCAACGTGTTGGCCGCCAAGTCTAATCGACGAGCAACGATCCGTTTTAGCCTTGGGGGAAGGCTCTGTCCGAGTCGAGAATATCAGGCTCACCACGGGGTGGATGTGAACGTTGTTTCGCGCGATGTTATGGAAGCATGGACAGCGGCAGCCGTCACTGTAGACATCGTGGAACACGACAAGCCACAGCTGGTCTTCCCCTATAGAGAGACGGCTGCACTGCTGAAAATGTCGCGACGTGCCATTTTCGGCTGGTTAACTCTTGATACAGCGTCGAGCCGCTAGTCCTGCGCTGCCTGAAGGCCTGAGCCGACGACATGGCCTCGTCGAAGACAGATAAGGCATGTAGTGTGCCACACCTGAAGTCATGAAATGGGTCGAAGGTTGTCGGGGATAACGAGAAGCACGTCGCGAGAGGCTCGATAGTGTGCTGAAAGCTAATGGCGAAAGCAAGCGAAAGGTTAATGGCGTGGGCTCGACGCCGTGGACATGCAGCGCCAGACGAGTTATTGCGGATCCATGCCGATGTGTACAGTGAAATCGTGGAAACACCCCGCCTGTGACGTTAGA